GGGAAAACTGCTAATAGGCAACTTCTCATTATGCATGTGGAGTTTAATTGTCTACTATCCATTCCAGTCATCTGGATCGTGCTAAATAAAAAACCACTCCATAAGAATTTGGTGTCCAGAGTGTAAATTTTAGGCTGATGTATTTCCAGGAAATCTTTTACATGCCATGTATTTACTCTTATCTCTTCATTTTAGCAATGAAAAAGGAGCATCAATCTGGATACATGAATCTCTTCACATCACAAATTTGAAGTTATTATTGTTGGTATAATATATTAACTTAATAAATGTTTCAGTTATTTATTATCCAAAAGCAGATGTACAATGGACATATTTATCAAGTTTTGAAGCGATATGACTGCTGCTAAGTATTGCACAAGCCTCGACAGATCCTTGAACTTCATCATCTAGTTAATATCAATAAATTGAAAATTAAGATCAGACCTTGGAGCAAGTGTAGATAACAAGAGTCAGCCAAGTCCAGGCATTAGGTGCACAATTTGAGGAACCATCACCAGCTTGGTCGAGAAAATATGATAATGGGGACATCAGTTGAAGTTCATATTGGTATCGTGAACCACAAAGCTTACATGTGCCAACATCTTGTGAGTTAGTTGTAGCCAACAGTGGACTACCAGCACAAGAATACCTGCAGGTAATTACATACCAAAAATCGAATCAGGTTCTGAAACTAAAAAGGTGTATACTTAGAGAAAAGCATGATTTAATAAATAATAACAAGGACATGATGAGTTCTACCTAAAGCATTGTTGAGGATATGCATCCAACCGTTTCTTAAATTTTAAGAAAGTTCTGTCGGCCCCAGGAGCTTTATCATATTCATACTTTTCTCCTTCCCATTTTTCTTCTTCATCATTACCCATGTCCATTATCTCTTCTGCCAAAAGTTTTTCATAGCTACTAGAACCTACACTGGTTTTTCCCCTCGATTGCTCCGTATCGTAATAGATATAGAAACAAGGAAGAACTGCAGAAAGAAAATTTCATGAGACAAAAACACTCGGACTTTACGCTTACGGTAATGAGTTCTGCGGAGATTTCCCTCACCTGGTATACTGAGGTCATTTACTTTCTCTTTCACTACAACGCATTTTCTAGGGACATTATTAGCACGCTTTGATTTGTTTTTCTTCTTTGTGTTGGATGCCACTGTTGCAGCCTGCTCGAGTGCTGCAGCCAAGGCATCAAAATCAAAATCATCATCATTGCTGTTGGAACTCTTGTTTGCTTCTTCGTTATGTTTTCCCGCAGAACATGAAGGAGTTGGCTCATTTGAGCAAACCTTTTCTATATTTTGGACTGACCCATCCCCATTATCATTTGATTGCATACCAGTATGGCACTTCTGAACCCTTAGGACCTTCCAACTTTAAGAAGCAAAAAATAAAATTAGAAGTCAGAGAAACAAACCTCAAATCATACTGGAGATCTGAATAACATGTAATTGTACCAAACTACCAATGGTAAGTGAAACATACTTGCCTTTGGGGGTTAGGGCTGCATTTTGGCGTCGGGCAAACAAGCACATACAGTGTCCTCTCTTCAATGTTAAGCTTCGCAAGAGGAGCATAAACCTGAAATTTACTACACACATATAAGAAAAACATGGCAAAACTACTAGTGCTGGATAGAGGTATCGGCTACCATCGTAGAAACAAAGCTAGTATGCAACAAGAATTTAGGGCACTGTAAGTCTGTAACATAGGTCCAAAGATGATAAATTCATAGTATTCCATTCGCTTATATGGACGTCTATCAGAACATGCTTCAGCTCTTAAAGCCAATTTAGTAAAGTAGAAACTCGCCTGAGCAACAAGGCAGAGCCTGGTTCCACACAATCTGCAATGAAGCAACTCCGGTTCAGTGCTTATATCCCCCGTTGGCCAATCCTGCAGAAGGTTCAGCCAAATTTAATCAAACAGGAGCCCCGCCAGCAACAGCCCGGTCAAAATTGTTCCACCTTTGGGGAATAATAATAATAGAAGATGAAATTGGTACTAGAGCACACTGGAATATGCAGCGTAGCTTCATCTCTGGCAGTGGTTAGTAATCCAAAAACGAAATTGAGGAAGAGATGGAGAAGAGAACGTAAGTTATCAATGACATACAGGGACCCCGCCGATCTTGGTGGTGTAGTGGTCGGCCTTCTCCCGGTAGTCCTCCGCCCAGGGCCCCGGCAGGCCCAGATGCACCTCCTCCGTCATCCCTGCCGCCTCCCTCAAAAGATGCGAGCTTCGCGGAGCTGGCGGATGGCCGCGGGAGGCAAGAACCGCGGGCTCGACGGCGGCCGGCGGCTGGAAGAGAGGGAGGGGTTAGGCGGCGACTGCGTGTGCTGCCTCCCCTGTAGCAGACTTGGTTCTGGCTGCGAAAGGGTCTGGACCGCCACGGGCGGGCACGAGGCCTTGTAATGTAAAGAAGGCCTGATGGCCCACGCAATAATACGCTGCCAGGCTGATTCAGGTTGTGCGAGAGGAGGCCCAGGACTAGGCAAGCGGCCTGAACAAACCCATGTACTTGTTCGAGTATTAGGGCACGCATGGTTTGCCATTTTATGGATGTATTTATTTTACGCACGTAATGGGACCTCCTATTCCTCCGTGTAGTGGC